TTTTGCAGAAATTGAACTTAAAGTTTATCTTTTACATTGAGTCTTATGCAGGAGCCAAACTTTAAACCTGTTTTTCTCGGTTCGATCCCGATGTGGCTTGGTTCCTTTCTGTTTAACTCCGTCCAATTGAAACAAAATTCAAAACACGCCAGTAGCCGGCCACTTTTTGTAAAGCGCGAGATCATGGACTTCAATTAATGGTAGCTACTATAGGTCAACCCAGCTTCAGGAAGTATTTTTTAAGTATCGGCATTGTCAGACTTCAGAAATCCCATCATCTCCCATCACGCGCAAAAGACCGACTTACGACCTCTCGTATAAGAGATCTGGCGGACCTAATTACTTCGGGCATCAGATCTCCGGAGACGCGACGCTATAACGTCATTATCATATCATTATTCATTCAGTGAATGGAAAGCGATGTTTACGAGCCTTAGTTGAACACATTTATGATGTATAGGGATTGTGTGTAACATAGTTCCTTTTAGCATAAATGCGTCCAGTTGTTTCGCCTTTGTCTGGATCTTTCACGTGAATTCGCTTTGGAGAGAAGAATCCTGATCTGGTTCCACTGCTGAATTGTTGCGGTACTTTAACCGGTCGGGTCCAAGGTCGAGTGAAGATGGGGGCAAGCACGGATGTTGCGAATAAGTTGGTTGACTAGAATAATCTGGGCTCATCTTTGAAGTGCGTAAAAATCTTTGTGTTGGGCGTCTTCCTACGTGCGAAATTTGTCTATGTATATATGCCATCATTTCATGCCTGAAGACAACAAGTATCTTGAACATTTCATTAAAATGCGACGTAGCAGGAAAAAAATGTGCCCGAGGGTAGAAGCTCAAATTGTTCAGCACAGCGGAAAAACCGATTCGGGGTCAAACATATCGACTTTCAGTTTTCGATGCCCGGTAATTCATATTATTCTGAAGAACACTGGGCCTAAACTTCAAGCCCTAATTTGCGTAGTTAATGATGTTTTGCAAGCGTTTGAAGTAAATCGTTCCTGAGATTGGCTGCCAGTCTCGCAATAGCGCAGCGTCGATAAACTTTAAAAATACTTTTCTTGAACTCTCCATTTTTCATCTTCGAACTTTGAACTGCTGCCAAAGGGTCAAAATTCTAAAATTTAAGAGCGCTTTTTGCGACAAATGATACTATAAGTAACCCATATGCGGACCGATCGTCTGATCGTATCGACATAGAATCAATAAATTGATTTATATTTTAAGTATCGGACTAAAGTTTGATCAATAATTTTGAAGAAAAAAATTATTTCTAAAATTATTGATAGATTCAATAATCTGGCCGCTGAGCTGCGCTATAGTTGTCTTATTCTCTCGCCCCGACCATAAAGACATTCTATCCTGCTGCGTCACTAACATACATTTAGTTTTGTGCATGCCACTGACAAAAAATTGAATGATATTTGTTGAACAGAAAAGACTAAAAGAGTGATAACAAAGACGGATGGCCTTTAAAAGCACGATCTCGGCATGAAGCGCCTTCATTTCTTAGGACAACTCCACGCTTTACTGCACAGTTGGTTTAGTTGCCTATCCGATCTAAACCTAACTCAAGTCAAGGATTTCAATCATTATTCTTTTCCAAACTTACCAGTTACTACTAAATTTTTTACGGAGGAAACAGTATCCGTCCCAGTTAATGGCAAAATAAACAGCGCTCTCTTCTTGTTCAGGGCCGGATTTAGGGGTTGGCCACATGGGCCGCGGCCCATGGCGGCAAATTTAGGGGGCGGCAAATTCTGTACTTTTTTTAAATATAGCTATAAAGAAAAATCAGATTCAGCGAAAAAATTACAAACGAGAAAAGGTGACAAAATCTCTCATTTTCCGAGAGTATATCTCTAATTTTGTCGTCTTCCTGTGATACAATAGACAGCACCTTTAATTGGTCGAGTTAAGACTAAGAGAGAAACCGAACACGGAATTAAGCCTGGAACGGCGCGGCGCAGAGAGCAATGGTGACGAGAACTTAAGATGAACAGGAGAAACCCACGGGCGTGGCGGTCGGCATGTAACACATATTAGCGCCTACAAGACTGCATGAATACTCCACGCATTGCGTCAAAGACAGTGCGGTCGCTGCGGTCAGCAGCGGGCAGCAGCGGGCAGCAGCAGTCGGCGTGAAACGCACAGCGCCTACAAGACTGTAGGAATACTTCACGCATTGCGCGAAACACAGTGCGGTCAGCATGCCGCGGCGGCAGAAGTTAAAATTATTAAAGCACATTTATGTTTGTTCTTTTATAATATTTTCGTTCATTTCATGTAAATGGAAGGCCTTGTCCACACAGAGATAGGTTTACGGAACTGAACTTTCGTGCCAAGTCACGTGAATATTTGCGAGTAGTGTTGACAAGGCTTTCACAAAAAACGTGTTCAACACGAGTAAACGTGCGTCTTATGCACCTCTTCCCCCCGGCACGTCCACTTGATGGTTTTTATTGATGTTTCAAAACGATTGAGAAGGAGGCGGCAAAATACAGGCGGCCCATCGGCGGCAAACAAGTAAATCCGGCCCTGTTCTTGTTCCTTCTTATCTAAATTGTATGATTTCCCTTTAATCACTAGTGGCTGGCCAAATTGCCCGCGGTTGCATTTGGTGACAGCCTGCGACAAATCTAAGAGGCGTGTTTTAGAAGTTATAGGTCATCGGTTAGCAGCCTCCAGTTGGTGAACGTGCACTCTGCGGTAGTTTTAAACTTCAAAAAGAAAGAAAAAAACACAAATGAAATCATGTAATTATATTGAAAAGTAGCACTGTGATGTTAAACGCTAAAATTCATATTTCTGAGATGCCATACGTGTGTACTCACATAGGTGCAATTTTTTTTCCTTTTCCTTTTAAGTCTTTTCAAATCAGAATTTCGTGTCTGAGAATCAGGAAAAATGTCAGATGCGAGACTGGGTCTCATATTAAATTAATCGTCTGCGGGAGAAAAGCACGTAAACGGATGCTATTCAAGCATCATCGGGTGTGAAGATGCATAGTCTGAGAGCTGACTGCCACCGGATCAATGGCCGGCTGTGGCATTGATGCTGTAACACCACAAAGTTCAAAGTTGAGGTAGGTAGCGCAGCGGCAGCTCACCGCACCGCCCGCCGCGCTGCGCCACTTGGTCAGGCGGTTGGATTCATTGAATTGAGCTTTAACCGATCTTAACCGCTCTGTCAAATCCCGCGATCTGTTCCTCTTCCGAGACCGTTGCCAACTTGTGGTTAAAAAATCCTCCGATTAGACTGATTTAGTGGCTACATCATCCGATACATATCGATTGTGAAACTGCAGAAATGCGTATCTCGGCTTGCGGCGTTGCAGACTTCCGTCATTCTTTATTTCCTACATGGAGAACTGCAGAGCGTAGGTTTTTGAAAATTTCAGTGATTTTTCTTCTCCTTATAAAGAATATTCTGAGAAATTTCAATGTATCATGCTGATTAGGTCTCCTTTTAAAAAATAAAATAGTAGCCGAGATTTCGAAAGGCCGTAACCAAGATACGCATTTCGGTCTTTTTCATCGACCATAGCAAGAGCTCCGATGAGCTTCTGTGTAGAGTACCTTTTTAAGTAGAGAATGCCCACTGGAGGATTTCGTTCTGAGCCTTTTAAAACTGTCTACTTTGAAAAAATAAAATAGAAACGGATATTTCGAAAATCACAACCGAGATGTACGCATTTGTGCAGTTTCACCGATGATATCCATTGAATTGTGCCACCTTTAAAAGGCGCAGCAAAGCGTTCGATATCAAAACAGTCCATTTGATTTGGGTGGAGTCGTCGGCGTGGTGGAACCATCATCTGCATGACAGACGCCTTTCAGAATCGAGAGGTTCTTTTCAAAATGAGCAATTAGTAAAATTAAAAATGACTCTTTCATATCATTATGGTATAATATTTTGTCAGACGAGCATTTGGTTAAATTAAGGGTTTTCTGTTGTTGCTGTCCTTTTTTCTGGATACTTCTTAAGCTCCGCGCTTTTTAACGAACAAGGGCGTAGCCCATTGTCGAGTAAATTTCCTTGACACTCTCCTCCTTCACTACAACCCGAAAATTTCCCAACTAAAGGTCATTTTCGCAATTTTCAGGATTTTTTTATCATTTATCCCGCCCTCCGTACGAAATTGTAAAATTCGGCCAACACTGGTATCCTGACGAAAATCAGCCGCGTGAAAATTCGGATGTTGCCAAATTTCTTCCAATTAAATGTAAATTTCTCTTCCAGAACTTAGCAAATACTGTAGAAACACATTGCGAATTGAAAATTTTGGAGATAAATTCTCCCTTCCAGATAATTCATATTTTTTGGCGAGAAGTTTGGGAACCTACGAATATTCATTAGGTCAGATTTAACTAGAATCAACCTTTCTACATCAGACGCTGCCTATATTTCTCTCATGTTGTATCTATTCAACAGAAAGCGAATCAAAATTCTTCTTTAAAATTTTGTGAGTATTTTTTTCACAATCCAGCAGAAACTCACGGAATGCATCAAAGCGTTATGTTAATTGTTTTCATTTTACAAAACTATAACTCGAGAGAAATTTAAGCAGCGTAAAATGCAACAAGCTGGTTTGTGCAATCGCTATATTCGGCAGGAGAGCTTTCCTCTCTGTTTTATTCGCCTTAATCCGTGTCTCCTACCTATTTATTTCGCCTTCAATCATCGTGATGGCAAAATGTCTTGCCCTGGAATACGGAATTTTATTTTAGCTGATCATTTTTCTCTGTTCTTTTTCTCTTATTTAATGCCTAGTTGATTGTGATATAGTGCTTAGCTGAAATGTAAAAATGTCTCTTTGTCCTTTCTGTGGCTTGACGTATACCATAGCCTTGTAGCTCTCATGTATTAAAATGAAAATAAAATATCTGGTTATACATTATGGTTATATCCGGCCTTACGGTGTTGACCCTTAGCACGGCAGAACTGAACCTCTCTATGAAAACGATGGAACCTAACTTCAGAATTCATATGTTTCAGCTTCCACGAGATGGGCGTGATCGACACGGCGGAGATAATCGACTTCATCCTGGCGAAAACGGGGCAGCCTTCACTCATCCACGTAGGCCACTCGATGGGCACGACCGTTTTCTACATTTTGGGCGCCGTCCGACCCGAGTACAACGAGAAAGTCCGAATCCACATCAGTCTTGCTCCTGTGTGCTACTTGAAACACATGAAACTCAATCCCTTGCTCAGGCCCTTCGCCCAGAACGCACAAACGATTTTTGTAAGTAGATACAGGACTACACCTCAGTGCATTCGACGAAAAGGGGCATAAAAAAATTACCTCACGCTGAGAGCCGAGTGTTTGAACTCCCTCCTCTCCCATCACATACAGGATGATCTAAAAGTTCCACACCACCCCCATGAAACTTCAGGGATTTTACCTTTTCTCACCTAACATTTTCATGGGGAAAATCGAAAAATTAGGTCTCTATTCAAATTCGTTCAAAATTCACAGGGGTGGTGCCTGCTACTTATGGTACGGGACTTTTGGATCACCTTGTACATCTAAACTCCGTTTCAAAATTCTGTGACGCTATCCTCGACCCGACCATTCCCCATCTCCTCAAAAAGAGAAAAAGTTCATAGAGGCTCATACTATGTGACTAATTTGTCGCCGAGAATGGCGGCTCATAAGAAAAATAAAGAATAATAAAAAAAGGGAGAAAAATAATTTGAAATGAGATGCTTAAAGTTGCTACATGTTTTAATTCGGAAATAATAAAATGTTCATACATTGTAGGTCTAAAGATCCAAGCCTACTTTAAGTGTGCGTTACGCAAAGCAGGAGTCGAACGATTTTTCCAAGAGAAAAGACAAAAAAACGATGGGAGGTGGAGATCAAAACATCAATTGGTTGGGGGGGGGGGGGCCCGTTACGTCCGATTCTCAGCGTCACGCATTTTATTAACTACCCCTTAACCCATGGAAACTACACTTTACCTCTTAGACCGCTGTCGAAAGTACTCAAAATAAAAATGAATTTTGAGATGATTGAAACTTCGAAAAGGGCAAACATGCCAACATTCAATTATAGGTTTCAAGACGTTAAGTGAGCTCAATGAGCAAAAACTCGGTAACCTCGTAGCGTGCTCTTCTGCTACGGAAAATAAATCAACTGAACTATGTATATCAGTATTGAAAACCCCGAATCTAGACATGGTCTCATACAATTTTTCATGTTTAATTTCAGAAACTGGCGCGGACTGCTGGCATGTTTGAATTGTTACCTCGAGTGCCTGAATTCAGCAAAATGCTCTACACGAGTATCCAAAAACCAAACATCCAAAAACTTTTCCTCCAGGCGTTTTTCGGGCTTCTGGGTTCGGACTATGACCATGTAAATAAGGTAAGTTATGACTACAAAATGATTTACCGTCCTCTGAATTCAAGACGCTAAGAAACGCACCGAGTATTTTTCAAGGTCTCCCAATCTCGCCATCGTGTTTCCTCGTTTTAGCGAGACATTGTGACAATCATATTACCCAAATGATGTTTCATTTATTTTCTTTTGTCTTCGCACCTCACGAAAAACCACCCCAAAAGCAGTTTGAGTATTACTCTAGTGAATGCGTTCCAAATGCCTCAGTTCAATTATCGATCTAGAAATTTATGAAGCACAGTAATTTGTGGTTCCGCATTAAGTACTGAAAAATGTTCTCACTCCAGCTTTATGCTTCCGTCAAAATTTCACCTCTTATACTGAAATTAAATTTTAGATTATTTTTTCGTTAAAGATTGAATTTGCTATACTTTTATGTACAGCTCTCACTTCTCCATTTTGCCTTATTTTGCAGACGCATGTACCTACATTCGTCAGTCACTGTCCAGCCAGCTCTTCGGTGAAAACACTGCAACATTTTGCCCAGATTTTACTGAGAGGTAACTATTAGTGCTAAATTCTTGATTGACATTTTCATTTCACCAAACCTCAAACCACTTCATGTCAGGTCTGCACTAAGAATGTTCATAGCGTACGAGTCCTAACGTGGTCTTTGTACATACTCTTCTTTATGTTGATATCAATAGCTTAATCTTGAATTTTTGTGGATTAAGGTCTCGTGTTGCGTAAACAGTAACATAATGTAGGATCCTAAGAACCAAAATTCTTTTTGGTTTTAATGTTTACATAATTTAGTAGTTCCTTTGAAGAACCACGTATACTATCTATTTGAAATTCTGCTAAGATTAATCTTACAAAATAATGTAATTTCACAGAGAGGAAATTGAAAGCAATGGCTATAATTTTTTTAAACATTTCCCGTAATTTTGTCAAAATTAGGTGAAAATCTACGTATGCATGTGAATTCCAAGATGCAGAAGTCAAACCTAGACAAAGTTGGGAAATCTCGGCAGCAGTGTAATGGTTATAAGTGTTCATACAAAAAAACGCACCAATCTTCATAACATCCAATTGAAGGGTAAAAACAGTGAATCAATTTCTTTATTTACAGACGAATTTGCCTGGTACAGCTATGGACCCGAGAAAAACCTTCAACGCTACGGCTCAGAGGTTTCACCCTTATACAACTTAAGCGCCATCACAACCAAGATCTCTTTCCACTACAGTTACAATGATTACGCATCACATCCAACGGTATAAGCTCAAACAATGTTACAGTAATAAAAAAGTTTGATCAAGATGTAAGATTTGCCGTAACTTGAAGTAGATTTGAGCACTGGTCTCTCTAAACAGAAATTAGTTGTATAGAATCAAGTCGCCTTTAATGAGAGAGCCTCGATTTTGCATTGATAATTTTAAACGAGTTGAAAGAAATTAATCGGACTAAACCGTACTGAAGAGGCACCTATTAATTTTCTTCTCTTATTTTTTTTACATCAACTCACTGCCGATCAGAAGTTCCAATTTTTACTGTTCTAAAAGGTCAGGTTAAAAATATTGACTTTTTTTTCAAAAAAAGAAAAAAAAACAATTTTATTTCTTTTCTCACACTTCATATTTGATTATCGAAGCGGCCAGCGTCACGTAATTTATGAACGCTTCCTTGCCAAGAAATTGGCTCATCAAAGTTCGAGCAAACGAGTTCAGTTTTCCCGTGCAAAGGAGAAACACCGTATGAATCTTAGAGGTTGCCAAATTTCCTTTTGACAAAACACGAATTTGCAGGAAAATCTCTGAATATTTAGCCTAGAATTTTCTAGAGAACTTTATTGCCGATCAGATCTATAAGGGATCTGAAAATTTCAAGAGGAAACATTCATAACTCTCCTTAGGAATATGCATTTTACTGAAGGAAATTTGACAACTCTCGAATGTTCATTCGAGTTTTTTCTCAGCACGGCAGAGTTGATAAAATTTAAAACTTCTGTTTTCTTGGTCTGAAAAACTGTGGCGCTGGCGTGTCATATAAACCGAATTGGTATCATTTTGATCGAAATCATTATCTCTGCACAAACCTTTGGACCTGTTTTTTTCGATGCATAAGACTATTTTTTACGAGTATAATTATAACGAGTATAACGTCCTATTTTCCAGGATGTGCTGAGACTAGCAAAAATTGTGCCGAACGTCGTCGGAATGTATCCGATTCGATTCAAGCAATTCAACCACGTCGATTACCTGTGGGCAACCGATAGTAGAAAACTTTTCATGGACGACATAATCACGATGATCCAAAAACACTCAAAACCCTCAAGAGACAGCTCGTCATCAGAAACCGCCTCATCGTCCTCCCCCAACGACATCATTCGGCGGCGATGAGAAAGTTTAAATTATCTGTGACTACTCTAAATCACCCAATTGTGTTCGATCGCGTCACCATTAATTAATGTATGTGTGGGTAGACTATCCAAATGGAGATGTTGCATGTGTGAAGAGTTTGCGATTTGACTGTTGATTCTTAAGTAAAAGTTCGCGAGAAACACGATGGTGCCACTGGTTTTCTCTGAAGTCAACTCCCAAGCTCAAACAAAGCTCTCAAATTGAGGCCAAAATGGAGGGGATATCCCACGCTATCGTGAGAGTCCACCTCTACATATAGACAAACTCTCCACGCAAAGCTAGGGAGCAAATACATTGACAGGGCTGCCACCTTATTTGGGGACTCTTAAACTGAAATCACGACAACCCTGTCAATGTATTTGCTCCCTATCTTTGCATGGAGAGTTTGTCATTATGTAGAGGTGGACTCTCAGGATAGCGTGGGATGTCCCCTCCATTTTGGCCTCAACTTTAGAGCTTTTTTTGAGCTTAGGAGTTCATTTCAGAGAAAACCAGTGGCACCATCGTGTTTCTCGCGAACTTTTACATAAGAATGAACAGTCAAATCACAAATTCCTCACACATGCAACATCTCCATTGTTCAGGGTGAATCACTGGCACCAGTAGCGATGCGAAAATGATCAATTATCGATATTTTCCATTTGATGCTATGGTAAAGGATCGAATATTAGGGCGTTCGTTGCGAACACCTTGTTTATCGATACTTTTCCACAGGTTTAAATGACAGATCAATCTATACATCGCAAAGCACGCCTCACCTCTGACCAGCACCAGACAGTGTTAAGGTGATTCGTTATGGTTTCTAGGCGGTCTAAGGTCGAATTGGCGTGCGATTTATCGCATCAATTTAGTCAAAAATCTCGGTGCATTTTGAATTTTTAGCCATATAAAGGACGATAACCCCTGCGCATGAGCCTAAAGAATCATTTTAAACCAAAAAATCCAGAGAAATGAGAGCAAAATCCTGTTTGGAAAGAACTCGCATTCGATACAAAAATCGATAACTGTACCGAATGCGAGGTTTTTTTCCCGAGAAGGATTTTGTTTTCATTTCTCTGAATTTTGCCATTATTCGGTTTAGAATGATTCTTTGGCTCATGCGCAAGCGCTATCGTCTAAAAATTCAAAATCTACCGAGATTATTGTCCTAATCAATGCGATACATCACATGCCAATTCGACCACGTCAGGAACTTGACGAATTACCTTAAAGGAAACGACTTTCAAAACCCTCCAAAAAATTTTTTGGAGGGTTTTGAGAGTCGTTTTTCAGATTTTCAGATTTCAGAGAGCGATTTTCAGGTCGCCCTGTATGATGAATGTCAATTTTGATTGCCTTTAGCTCGAAAATCACGTATCTCGGCTCGAGGTCTCGACGTATTGTATATTGTCTGTCAAGCAATGAAGTTATAAATCATTTCCCTCAGGGAAAATAATAACGGAAAGGAAATTTTGAAACAGCGCAATAAAGGTACATGATATGTGAGTTTAGCGATCTATTCCTTTTAATGCTGAATGGGTTGAAATAGGATGAATTGGAAAGTAATGATGGCATTGCTAGATTTTATCAGACGAAATTATTATTTGCATAGATAAATAGTTTAGGCCCATGAGGATAACCGGTCTGAGTCATATTTAGCGGAGGAAATCATGTAAGTCATTCAAGTCGTGCAATTGTAATTTATTCAAGCTTACTTTGGCTAGCAAATCCAAAAAAATCGACATTGTCCACATAAATTGGTAAAGTTCCTATCGACGTCAAAATATATTAATTTAATTATCATTTCATGTATTTTAAGTGTCCTCATTTCTCAATGTTACTCTGCTTATTTTTATACAACTCAAAATGACACGGTTTTTTTTTTTTGCAAAATTACGGGGAAAATACCGTTGATGTGGCGTCATTGTTCGCGAGACGTCAATATTCCTTTTAGAGTATGAAATCTAAGTTTCCAAAATCTTCTGCACTAATTTCCCATTAGATTTATGATCCGTCGTAATAATCTTTCTCAAGGGCGTGCGCGCACACTGACCTGAGTGAATGCGATTATACATTATCATTTTGCCGTGCCAAGGAAGAACTTTGTACGGATATTCTAACGTTGTCAAATCCTTTAGATAAATTATTTATGTTTTGAGGACAGTTATGATTTTTTTTTTTTTAATTTTCGAAGACTTTGGAGCAAATTGCGAGGAAAACTCGCTGAAAATGTAAGAGAAATATTTTCAAGTTACTCCCAAAATTTTTATTTTACGTAAGGATGTTCGGCAACATCTGATTTTTCATACGGCGTTCTCCCTTGATTCGGCCGTATTAACTTAACATCAAGCCCATGTGGTATCTGAATATTTCATATTCTCAATTTATTGAAGAAGGATGGAGAGAAATTGGATGCAGAAGTATTTCTTGCGTGTCAAGTAGGAAGTTATCTAGTGCCTGACACCAGTTCTACCGTGCTAAGGAAAAACGCCTTATAAGCCTTCGGTCGTTGTCAAATTTCTTCCAATGAAATTGTTGGATAATTCTCCTCCAATTTTTCAGAGAATTTTACTCTCAATCTGATTTAAAGTACATGAAAATTTCAAGGTAAAATATTTACAACTCTCTTCAAAAATTACTGTTTTATAAGAGAAAATTTAGCAACTCCTGAAAGCTTATACGTAGTTTATTCTGTTGAAAAACAAAAAAACTGTAGCAATTAAAAGGTATTTCGTATTTAAAAGAAGAAAAAAAAGAAAAATTGCGAAGAAGACGAGTGCATGCTAATTTCGTTGGATCAGTAACGTCACATCAAGTATGTGTGCAAATTAAGTATTATATGTTTCATTAATACAGATCGAATGAAGCACAAATAAGTTTTTGGTGAACCGTAAATCATCTACTTAGTTCTTTGGACTCATCATGTTTTCAGTAAGAGTTTATGTTCAATTCATAATTTGTCATTTAGTGATAGATTGTTCAATGTTAAAATAAATACATTTTTCAATTTTCATTTTATTGTGAAAATACATTTCTATCGGTGAAAATGTTACACCCCATCAGCAAAATTGTCCAGTCCGTGAACTTGCCGACAGGCCGGTCTCCAGTCGAAAAATGACGTCATCCGACTGCCGCCGATAGTTCCGTTAACTTTATCTGCAATTCATTTGCTAACCGCTGAATGAGTTCCACTCATCAATTTCTGGCGAATTTTTTTCAAGATTTCTAACGAAACTTAAAAGCATCGAAATAAATACCAATAAAACGTATGAAAAACAGGTTACTCAAAAACCCTGGCATCTGAGTAAAACAAGACGGATGAATGGAAGTTCGTTTTATCGAGGGTAAGTTTAATGAAACTGACAGAAAAAGGATGATGCTTGGCGAAAATATCCATCAAATTATGTTCAGGAATTATTTCAAAAGTTGGAAATTAGGAAATCAATTAAATTCGTCGACCGATCAGAGAGCGGCTATTCGGTTTTTGTAAAAAGATTGAGATGCAACACATAGTTTCTCTTCTTAGGCACTCTTCCAATCGGAAAATCGGGTGCTACAACTAACGACAGTCACCTGCAATTCTAAAAAGGGCAAAACGAAAGTGCCTTCAATTTTGAACATGCAATACGCACATCCGTGGGACACTAATAGTTGCATCAAGGCGCCGCGACCAACTCACAATCAGTCTCGTATTCGTATAATGTAGGTCGTGATAGTCACCAATTTGAATCAGTCATTCTAAAAAAAATTAAACACCAGATATTTTAATACGAGAGACACAGTAAAAAACGTTTTAATCTACCCGTCCTAAATTTTAGAGCTCCCAAAGCGATGCATTCCTCATATTATATAATCAACGATTTAAAACGAGACAATGGCTAAAGTTTTCAATGTTTCTCTTGTGTTTTCCTTTTTATTCCTGGCGCTTAAGTGTTTTTATGAATGATCGATTCAATTAGGTATTGGCCCCAGATACTCTGGTCTTGTGTCACTAACTGATTTTACTCTCCCTTCATAGGCACTCATTTGATAGAGTGCCACAACTGACGAGTCCCGTGGATCCCTGAAGGAGTGAGGAAAGCGGAAGTGCCTTCAATTTTGAATATGCAACAAGCACATCCATAGAGCACGAATAGTAGCATCAATGCGCTGCAGTCAACTTAGCCTAAAGAGAAAAAAAAGGACGTACCTAACAGATAAATTGAGCTGAAATCTCGAAGTAACTGAAATGTTGAGGGAATTTGCATTGTAGATCTAAACATTCCATGAAGTTTCTGTGTCGTAGGAGGGACATAATGTAATTAAAAAATTAAAGCAAAAGGAATTTTTTTTAATGAAGACGAGGGATAGAACCTCTACAAATTGGGACTCAACATAAATAAGTATACTTTGCGCGACTTTTATACGGTTTTGGTCAATCAAAAACAAAATAAAGTAACAAAGTCATTTCTTCTCAATAATGTATTTTACATAGTTTGAAAAAAATAGATAAATAAATAAATAGATCAATCAATCAATAAACATACAAACCAATAAATATATAAATTAAAATAAATAAAAAAACAGGAGTGCCTTATTTGCGCCTTAATCCTGACCTCAAACCTTTTCCATGGCTATTTTAGAGATCGTTGAGAGATCAGAGATCAACTTAAAAGTAAACGCGTATAAAAATAAGCACTATTTCAGCAATCACTTATAAACTCAAAATTCATGAATGATGTAACAAATTATCTCAAACAGCATAAATAATTAAACAAACTCACAGTGAACAGGCTTTGGTAGGTAACTATCATTCACTATTATGAGTTCACCGAGCGAAATTATTTTGTAACAAATTAGGCACTGATGATAAAGGAAAGCTTATATGACTAATAGGAACGATTACTCCCTCCACTAACTTTTTCATTGAGTAAAAACCAAAAATCAGGAAGTTTTATGATGAAATAGGTAAAGGAGAAAACAAATTAAACATAAAAACCGCTGTAGCAACTTCTAGCCAGAGGTAAGATAATTATCATTCACACAATTCAATAGCGTGGTGTGCTTTGAGATATATCGATTGATCTACTATTTAAACCTATGGAAAAGGATCGATAAAGGGTGCTCGCAACGAACACCTCAATAATCGATTCTTTACCAAAGCTTCAAATGAGGAAGTATCGATAATCGATCATTCACGCCTCGCCACCTACATAATTGTAATTACGAGTGTGAATATTATACAAAAAACCTCAGGGACTTAAACGCATGGATAGAAACGTAGAGGCCAATGATCTTTAATGCTATTAAGTATCTGATAATTGCAGATCTCCTATCTCTGACGTAATCGTTCTACTTTGACTTTTAACTGCTGAGTTAAGGGCATCCACAAAATGTAAGCTTTTTCACTTTTGAAAAGTATTGCTACGCAGCAGTTAGTAAACCAAGTCTGAAAGTTATTTTTCAGCCCCTCGGCGAGACGGTTAATAAATTTAAGTTAGGTAATAAATAAATTAATAAATTCATCTAAAATCTAATAGTATACACACCATCGGCAAATTTGACAAAACATTGCAGAAAAAGTTACCGAAACTGATAACTCTGGCTTCCCAATTTAGCAGAAGGATGCACTGAGAAAAATTTGTCTGTTAAAAAATCGTACATGGCAATGACAACCCCGAACTCAATCGCTCTTCTAAAAAGTGATGTAGATTTGGGACTAAAATGTTGTTAAAAGAAAGGGGTCAAATATTAAAAAAAATCGACTGTACCTCAATAACTTCAGTTCAGTTTTTTAATTTTCGACCCCTTTCTTTTAAATGTTGCCTCAATGTTTATTAGTCTCGGTTTAACAGTTTTAAAATATTTTCATCACTGCATTAGGTTTCCGCAAAATTTTAAAGAAGGTCATTTGATCTTTTGACGCATAAATAAAAATTTTAGGGTATTCATTTGCGAGTAAACGGCCCAAGCCCACCAACAATATTGCACAAGAAATCTGGTCACCGAAACACTCTACATTTGCAAAATTGTTGTTCATCATAGACCTACTATACATTGATGTCTGGGTAGCACGCTAGCTAAATGCTCTCTGTTGCCTCTCCGTTTGTTCGGAAAACTATTTCTGATCGATGTTTGTTCATGATGCCCATAATTTGATTGTACAGGAGCTTACGGCCGTCACGAGCCCAAAGATAATCCACGTGATTGAAATTCTTAAAAGGAACTTTAAACTTACCGATTAGATTGGGTAACTTACTCGCCAGTATATTTACGTCCTAAAAAAAAACAAATAAAATGAAATCAGGAGTATTATGGGTGAAAGTAAATCATCGCTGGAGGTAAACGATGCAACATCTGAGTAATTACTTTATCTCCAAATATTTGACAAAGTAGAAGCAAAACTGGAACATTCCTACTAATTTACGTCTGTATTTTCTTAGTTTCGGCTTTATTTCTCTTTTTTTCTTTCCTTTTTATAAATCCCACCTTTTTGATTAGCTTTAACAGAAATTGACTTTATACGTTAATTTGCTTCGACTCAATCGAGATTTTACAGGTGTCTGAAATTTTTTTGAGTTTCATGTTTAAGAAGATTCTATTGAGTTAATTGAGCATAAGGATATTCTTAGTTTCTAAAATGAACAATCATTAAAGGAGATATAACCAAATTACTTGATCGGCTAAAATACAATCGTTTAAATGGACTGCGTTTAGCAGAGAGGAACCAAGCCACATCAGCTACTGCCAAATTTAACTAGACAATTTAATTTTTCACAAGAGAACGTTTGTGCGAATTCCTTTGAAAATCTTGAGGAATTTGCTTCGTGCTATGCAGTAAATTCAATGAAATTTTCACAAAAATTGGAACAACCGTTTTCATTTAAAAAATAACCGCCGAATTAAATTTGGCAATAGCTGATGTGGCTTGGTTCCTTTCTGCTCAACGCGGTCCAAATGTGAAATGTCGCCTAATGACGTCAAAAGCTGGCAAATTTTTTTTCACTTTTAAATAAATTGGTCTGCAATTTCCCAAATCGGAAAAAAACATAAAAAATACTGCGAACGCAGCGCAATAAAGCACTCTCAGACGCAGCAATAACATTTTTTCTTGCAAATTCTCCACGCCCTTGATAGTAAGTTTGTTTGAAATATTTTGCTAAAACGATATATATGAGGGTAAGAGCTCTTCCCCAAACGGTAAGTGCAAGAGGTGATTGATAAGATCATGAGGGACTCAAATCCAAAAATGGTCTGAGATATTTTTTCCACCATGGTTTAAAATTACAAATATGCCTCACGATCTGACCATTGCATTGATAATATTTTTAAACGCTAACATTATAAAATAGGGAATATTTACGACGGAAAAATTTTAAAATATTTTTGTAAAAACAAGGAATTTTTTTCATACGTACTAATGGCACACACTAGTGGTATTCACTTGCATACTTACCGCCGGATGCGACAAAAAGTCGTTGGAACTATAATGTAAAGAAACAGGCGATGTGATCAGACTCAAATTATACTGGGGTGCAAGTTCTGTGCCGTACACCTCCAAGTTCTTCGCTTTACCGTAGCTAAACATGCGGAAGTCACCTGAAAGAAAATAAATACGAGGTGTCTTTTATCACAGAGAGAGTAATTTGCCCTCATTTCTTCTATTTTTGATTTACATTCATCTTTAACAGTTTCAGGATTTTACGTACACTTCAAAATCTAAACATGTATTTCTTTTGAATAGCTTTCTGTAATACACACGGGCACATATGATTGAGGCAAAATTATAGAAAATTGTTATTTCAGTTCAATCTGCCCCTCTCCCCCCTCAGTTAATCGGCAATACAGTAAAAGCTCGTTAAGACGAAAAATAAAGGGACCGAAAAAAATTTCGTCATAAGCGGCTTTTCGTTTTAACCGCTTTCCGCTTAAGACGAAATTTTTCGGCATAAGCGGCAAAAGCGCTTGAAAGTTGTGCTGGTATCCGCGCTGCTCTCAGTCATCCTGAAATTATTTTTGAGGTAAGCAGATCAAAGGTCTGTAAAGGTCAAAAGATCAAAGATCTAACGTAAAACTAAGTCCATTTTCCCTAAAAATTGGCTCTTTTTTGTCGTTTTTACCCAATTTCAGGGGGAAAAATCGGAAATTTTTCTTCGTCTTAACCGGCTTTGGTTACGGGTCAAAATTTCGAAATTTCGTCTTGTTCGTTTTTTTTTTTTACATTGACTCTTATGGAAGTGTCAAGGGACCGAAAAAAATTTCGTCTTAAGCTGATTTATTCGTCTTAACCGTATTTCGTCTTAACGAGCTTTTACTGTAACAGTTTTTTCTAGCTATCAGCTGTATCACAAGCGTGCTCCAAGAAGAACTATTTAGCAACCGTACCAGCATTTTCTCTCATTTTGGGACTCTTTGCACCCTCAATGTATCACGTGCCTTTCCATTTATCCCCCCCCTCCCATCAGCGTTACGTCTTTTTTATCATTACTCCTTTGAAGTAAGGACGCCTGTTTTTAGAGGGGAGCCCCATCATGCGTTGAACTCCATATTTTTTAAGGCTCTTGTCAAAATGGAGTTACGCCATTATGTCAAAGAAGCGCCGGGTTTAGCGAAGCATTGAAGCTGTGGAAGGAGGCCCGAAACTAGAGAATTTCCACAAGTGTATACTAGCTCCTGTGTTGAATTTGGGATTGCTTTCCCACAAGAACGCATGCATTCTTACCTCCATAAGTCCTGTGTAATAAGTGGGGTATGATTCCCATTTTCATACTACTAAAGCCGTACATATGAATATAGTTGCTTTGGAGCCGAATAAATCTTATGTACTGCTACTAATGAATGTAAATAAATCTCACCGGACAGCAAGCTTTGCGCAAAGTGTTGCAGAGTTTTTGCTGATGTTCCAGAGGGAAAATGACTTGCGAAAAGCGGGAACGTTTCCTACAACATAAACGAGTGAACATTAAGAGATTGTATGTAGTTTGAAATTATTATTTTAAAGAAATTGGCCGTTTTTTGTATAAATACAAGCTCTAATCGTGGCCTTACATGGGCATTGTCGAAAATATTATACACTGGCTGAAATCATAGTCTCTTAGTCTCATAGTCGCTTATATTTACACGTTAACGTTGCATTATTTCAACTCTCAAGTTGTGTTTTCACTAGAAAACCGTTGGGTGTTGCTAAATGAAGATTTCATTGATTTATCTTCTGATCACATGTAAAAATCCGCAAAAATGTAGACAGAAAACACAGAGTAAAATCCCTTGTGAAAAATTGTTAATTTGAGCCGCTTTTTCAACCTTAGGAAAGAAGTGCATACCCTCGTCTGGAAAGTGACTAACAATAAGAGCTATCTCACTTCCGAAGCGTCTTGCAAAGAAAAGAACACAAATTCCTTCAATTAGGCGAATAGGCAACTCCACGACCTGCAAGTCGAAATACGTCGGTGGCTTCAGTCGAAAAATGCGTACCTCTAATTGCGATGTTCTCAGTTTCAGTTCATGTTTTATTTTTATTTCATTTTTTTTATTTTAAGGAAATCTAGTCATCGGTTTCTCCTGAACTTTTCTGTCAATTTTTCTCGCTCCTTCAAAAATATTCCCATAAAATTGTAAGGAAATTTTCTGGTTCGTTTCCTAATTAAAAAAAAAAAATCAGAATCGGAGATTTTTGAACGGTGCAATCGAGATACGCATATTTTGACTCGTGATATATCGATCAGATATTATAAGCTGCTCAACAGAGTGTTCCAACATCAGGTTTATTGTTACAGGTTAGACTCCGACAGAGTTGTCACTATTTTGACGGATGTTGCGGAAGTTGCAAATGTTGGAGGAAAATGTTGCAAAATTTTTGAAAAGTATCATAATTCTCTCTCTTAAGACTACTCGATATAAATCCGCGCGTAAATGCAACGTTTAAAAAATATCCAAAAAGGACCTCCTGCAATATAATTTTTAACAATTTTTCAAGAGTCTGAATAACATTTTTCACGGTCGTTGTTGCCGCGGGTACAATTAATTTTGACTTATTTATATTCTGAACTACGATAGCAGTTATAATTTTTACTTACAGGATTAACTTGCGTTGGATCAGGACCGGTAATTGTGAATGTGTACCACAAACAAAATGGTTGGTAATTTTTTTGAGCGCAAAAACTACTCATTACTTTACTCAACCAGTTCCTCCGGGGCAGTATCTCCATAATACCTTGTTTCTGGAACATTTGCTGGAAAAAAAATCAGTCGATCAGTGCCTCATGCAGCAGTTCAAAATGTCAACACTGAAAGTTGCCTCTATATCTTAGAATACTAAATTCTACACTCTTGATCAAATCGGATGATATAGTTTACAGTTTTCAGATTACCCCTGAAAGTCAGTTTCATATTTTGACCGGAAAAAAATATTTAAAATGCTAATTATTTTATTTTTATTTTTTACGAGACACCACCAGTTAATCGTTCATATTATTTAGACTCATTAACAAATTAGTTAAATGGGAATCCTCACACGCTGGGCCTTAGCTGGGGGCATTTTAATTGTTCTTTGTTTCGTTGGAATTTTTGAGTAATTTGATATTATTTTGTGATCCGTTGCATTAGAATCCGACGCCAGTAATTTTAGAGTGAATAATTTTTTGTTACTTGTTTTCTTTGGAAAGGATTTTCACCCTTCTGAATATAAAGAAAAATATCTATCACTTTAGTGTGTGTCTAATTTCTGCAAATGCAAGTTTTCTCTCTGGTTTCAATATACAGATAAAGTTTCTAAAAATGAGCAAAATGGATCATTAAGAATCTTCCAAAGCTCCTATGAATGAGATACCGTCGGTGTAGCAAAAATTGTATTCATCTGAAATGCAGGCGTTTCGTGGCTGGCACATGCTCTTAAAATTGCATATCTTCGGAATTGTGGGCGCTTTTAATGCCGATTCAATTCATCTTACACGAAAAGGTGAACATCGTGAAAAAAGTTCGATAAGATTTTCACCAATATTTCACAAAGGGTATGGCGGATATATTAAAAATTTACAGAATCAACTTATTTGTGAGATTTGAATATTTTCCATGACCGTCAATTCAAATCTTGCGACGACTTTAGTTTTTCGGGAGTATTTAAACTTTCATTTGTTACCGCTGATATAATTGAGGAAAATCCTCAAATTTTGTTACGAAATAAATTATTTCCGTCGATTTATGAATTTTATGAATGGCTAAGATCGCAAAATCTCTATTGTGACGGTTAAAAATCTGCGATTCGTTTCATTTGTCTGGAGACGACAAACCAAAACATCTTTTTAGAATTTTCCAGGGATTCTTTTAAATGAGTGAAGAAAATTCACTGACTACTCCAAGAGAAGCCGTTCGATTTTTTTTCAATGAAAAAAATAAAATCCAATCGGAGATTCGTAACGTCGCAATCGGAGCTACTCTGGTCATCGAGACAAAAGTTCACAACGAGCTGCTGGAGACTAAAAGACAGGTGCATCGACTTTCAAAGCTGGACCACATTTCGCAACTAGGAACAACTATGTGTGGGTCATATTAAAAATAACGCACATGTCATAAATATCCCCGTGCAGATAGGTGCCTTTCTGGATCAGCCAGTTGTGGTTCCCTGTCGCAAAATGTGGCTCAGTTATATGCCGTGCAAAGGAAAAACGGCGTATGAACATCCGAATGTTGCGAAACTTCCCTCTGTAAAACATCCATTTTTGTTTCCACGAGTTTCATTGGAAATTTTCATTTTATCCGAAGAAGGTTGGCAACGTCTGAAGGCTCTTACGGCGTTTCTCCTTAGCACGGCAGTTTAACTTGTTGTGAGACTATAAGCTTTCAAAGCCTCCAAGCACAAGATCGATTTTGTAAAGAGCGACGTAAGAAGCGAAAAATCCCGCCTTACCGCGATATTCCTGGCATTGTTGGCGAGGGGTTTGGTGGTGCCGCCGAGGGACATGTGAGAAACAAAGGCAATAGGCGCCAGGCTGAAAGACAAAGCGATTTTTTCGTTGTATTCGGGTCGGGTCGAGGCGAAAACGTAGAACATCGTTGTGCCCATCGAGTGGCCCAGGTAAACAAGGTTCTTGTAGCTCGTCACGTTTAAGATGTGGTCAACAACAGCTGGCATATCGTAGTAGCCCATTTCGTGCCAGCTAAAACAAACCAAATTAATTAGTTGAACACCCCGCAGGAATTGGTATAAAGGTGATCTACCTGTGCGTCAAATATTATTTGGACCGCGTCAAGCAGAAAGGAACCAAGTTACATCAGCTATCATCAGATTTAATTGGAAGATTTCATTTTTTACATGAAAACGGTTGCACGGATTTTTTTTTACAAATTTCAGTGAATTTCCTGCATAGTAAAAAGCAAATTCCTCAATAATTTCAAAAAAGCCCTCACGAACATTTTTTTTTGTAAAAAATGAAATTGCTCAATTATGAATTCGGCAATAGATGATGTGGCTTGATTCCCTTCTGCTAAAACTCGGTCCAATTTATATTTAATCGTGACAGAAAATTTGACACTTCGCAAAATGAACCATGCGCTTACATATAATTCCAAATCCAACACCGGAGTGCTCAGCCGTCAACAAATCAGGGGACGGGCACAGCAAAATTATTCCAAAGCATTCGGGATTTTTTCTTAAGTTTGTTCTAGAGGGACATTTTTGTGAAGAAATAAATGAGTAAAGAAAAAGATGTATATTTAAGAGAAAATATTTATTTTCAGAGGTAGAAACTTGCCTTGGTATTCAAAAATCGCACAACTACTAAAGAAACCTGTCAAAAAAGGTCATTTTACCTTAAAACTGAATGTTGCAACCTTTTTATTCGGGTGTAAAGTCGTGGTTCGAGGGATAGTCAGATCCGTCAATGGTTGAAGCTTAGATAGCGGCAAAAAAAAAAATCCTAGCGTTACGCTTAAATTTGACAAAACTGCGTCCGCTGTATCGTACGATTTGAACCAATGTGACAACGGTTCAGATCCGTTTCGGCGCGAGAAAAATAGGAAAAAAATGGCAAAACGGCAACATAACACAGGCGTCCCGCCACGCCAAGCCACGCTGTATACCACGCCCGTGCCGCGAATAGCAGTTTCTTTGTCAAGGACGTCTGCACACGCCCGCCGATCCAATGCTGCTCAGTTTTTACTACAATTAACCGGTTTTTGTCGCCAAGCATGGGCGAGTAAATAATTAAGTAGTAAAACTGGCAACATCGAGCTCTTTTTCGCGCTCTACTCACGCATAGGCTGGCTGATTTGCCGGGAAATTCAAAAATCGGCGGGGAACCAGACAACGTTGAACTAATATTCGCATTCACGGGAGACTAAAAAACAATCTCGCTGAAAATGTTTCACGCACGGTTCTAGTATACATTGTTGGGGGCAAGTAGCGTGACTATGGGACCTCTATGGGAAGAGGGAAATCCAACCACACCTCTGAGGGATGGCGAAACCAAACGCTTGATTTTTATACTTACTGTAAGATTAAAAGGCAAATAAACAAATTGATTGTTCAAAATTCTGAATTACATGTTCCCACTCATGTACATATCAAAAATTTTATTAAAAGCCAACACGTATTGTCCGGGCACCGGACGTATCAAAGAAAATGACCTCCTATAAGCCTACTAGAAATATTGTTTCAGGGGGAAGGGGGCGAAGGACCAAGGGACCATTTGGGCCTAATTTTTCGATAAGATTCACTATTAATTTTTGACTCACCCATAAAAGCACACGCCTGTTTGGTATAAGCAATGACACTTATGTTATTTCTGCCATGAACCATACGTCCATTCCTCCTGTCAAAATGTGGCCCCATTATTCTGATAATATTGAGCGCCTATACGTCCGCCCTTAACTTTTCTAGAGGGGAAGGAAGGGGCACCAGCCTCCTGATGAGCCCTTCGGCCCTCGCCCTCAATGCTACGTCCATGTACCCAAATGATTTTTCTAAGAGATTACTGAATTATTATTACGCCCCCAGGTAGGCGACGGAAAGGGCGTCCAGCCAAACGGTGGGTAGATAGCATCTGTGAAGAGATGGAGAGATGCCAGCTCCCGGAGGATCGCTACCACGACAGATTCCTGTGGCGGGTAGGCGTCGCAGAGCGCCCTAGCGCGTCGTTAAATCGGCTTATACATACGCATTACTGAAGTATTACTGAATCTGATTACCGATTACAATCGAAAACACAGGAAAAAGCGGAAACAAGGCTAAAAATACAAAATATAAAGGCAGGACGTTTCGGTACCTTACGGCACCATTATCAACTGCAAAAAGAATTAAAAATAAAAAGAAATTAAAATAAAAACCAGCAAACGGCGTTACATCGTGAAATTGGTAAATGAGACTGCAGTGATAACATAATAAACAACAAACAAGGTACGATATGCAACAAACATCGGAATTATTGATTACTTTGTAAGAGACTACTACTGCCTTTACAAAATCACCAGCTCAATGATGCTTGATCAGTGCCTTAATTAGGACCAGATACTTGATCGCTAATGGTACGTGGACAGGTCGCCGTGACGTCGCCTGACGTGTTTGTCGTTCAGCGAACCGCGCCGGTGGCCGGTGACGCTTGGCGCGCGACGACGCCGAAATGAGTAATGCCATTTCCGAATTCCGCCTCGCGGATAGCTTTCCACTTCCGAGCGTGCGTGTCGCGCCGCTGCAGCTGCGCTCACAACCCGTCGGACCACAGACCTACACATTGACACCGGTTCGGTCATCACTCACATCATTGCTACATCGTTATAAAAACCTTATATTTAACAGGTTTTTCACTATACAAATAATGTCATAAGCGGATCCAAGGAGGGGGGGGGGCTCTACGCTTCCCCGCCCCCGCTCCCCGAAAAAAATGAGGAAGAAAAAGATAAGTAAGAGAGGAGGAAGAGGCAAGAAGAAGGACGCTTATATTCGGTAATTAATATTTTCAGAATAGACATCGACTCTAACTGCATATTAGATGCTTTGAAATTTCGAAGACTTTCCGGAAGAAGCCCCCCCACGCCCCCCTTCATCGATTTTTTGGGCAGGAGCCATTTATAAATTACATAACGCTCTAGGGGGTGAGGGGGTGGTCGAGGAGAACGCTACACCATTTTGTTTTTACGCGATATAGGATGGGGACTTATGTCACAATAGGGTTACAAAGGGGGATGAGGGGTCGAAAATGCCAAAAAAAGCGCGTGACTTTATTTATGAACGCTCCCGTTAGAGCGTATAGGTTCAAAGGAACGGTTTATAATTGGCGCAAACGGTTACTACAATACTGCATGGATAAACTGCGGAGGAAATCTCAGTGAGAAACCTCGGAGACAATGAATCTAATTGTTGAATTCTAACGAGTCCCGCGCATCTCTGAAGGAGTGAGGAAAGCGAAAGTGCCTTCAATTTTGAACACGCAACACGCACAACCGTGGAACACGAATAGTTGCATCAAGGGGCTAAAGTCAACGTCTTGGCAAAGCAGAAACACCTCCAATTCTTGAATATGTAGCACGCATTTCCAAGATACTAAGAATATATGCAGCATTTAAAAAACTCGGAGACAATGAATCTAATCTAATGGAAATTTTACAGTTCTTGGCACTAATAAATCCCTTTTGGTTGCTTCGCACTCACAAACAGAATGGTGAAAACTAAATGCAACTCAATACTCTAAAAAAGGGTTACGATTAGGTTATCTTTCCCTCAAGGCTAGGAATTTTTAGCATCGGAATAGGTTATTTAAAAAAGAGCGTAACCGCCAAATTTCACCAAGTCTTCAATACAAAACAAGTTTTTTAAATGTTGCATACATTCTTAGTATCTTGGAACTGCGTGCTAAATAATCAAGAATTGAAGGCGTTTCCGCTTTACAAAGACGTTGACTTCAGCGCCTTGATGCAACTATTCGTGTTCCACAGTTGTGCGTGTTGCGTGTTCAAAATTGAAGGCTTTTTCGCTTTTTTCACTCCTTCAGAGATTCGCGGGACTCATCAGTTATAGCACTTTAATAACAGAGTATCCATAAAGGCAGAGTATTGCCAGTTAGGACGAGAAGCCAGAGTATTTAAGGCCAATATTTGAGTCGGTCCTTCTTAAAAAAAGCTTAAGGGCCAGAAATGAAAACATGAGAAAAATATTAGAAACTATGGTGATCAACTCATTTTAAATCTTAGATTATGTAGTAATGTGATTAATTAATTCATCGGTTTCGTATTTCAGAGCTCTGAAATTTTAGAATGGATCGATTAAAAGGTTTTTACTGTTCCTTCCGTATTACAATTTGTGCATTTAAGTCTTTTTTAGAATGACCGATTCAAAGTATCTCGATTTAATACTACATTTATTGCGAGTTGGGAGGTGGGGTTGCGGTGCCTTGATGCAACTATTCGTGTCCCATGGATGTGGGTGTTACGTGCTGTTCAAAATTGAAGGCACTTTCGCTTTTCTCATCTCCTCAGAATTTCATGTGAGATGTCGTTAGTTGTAGCACCCGATTTCCAAAATAACAAAGCGCCTGTGCAGAGAAACTAGGTATTGCATCTTATTAAGTATTTTTACTTCCAAAAATAGGCCGCTCCCGGATTGGTCAAGGGATTTCAGGATTTCGTGAATTTTCTGATTTTCTACTTATGAAATAATTTCTGAACAAAATTTGCTTTGTCCGCGAACTGGGCAATTTTGCCGTCGGAGCATAAAAAATATGCATCACCACGGTGGATGATGTCATACGCTGTGTTTTTTATGGACTGGATCTTCGTTAACATTGATATATATTTCGTTTCATATTATGTTTGCATTGGACATAGAAGCTTTGCCCTTAGGCAGATCTTATTCAAATTTCGCTAATCCACAACCTGAAACCACCGAAACACGATTCTGTGACTAGTGCAATTGAAGCGCTGGGTGCAGGGGGGGGGGGCATTTCTTGGTTCTAGTGGTTCAGGATCTCCTTTAAGGTTTCATTCACTATAATTAAAGCAAACGCATGAAATTCGTTAAAACTTTTAGTGAATTTTCTTTTGATTTAAATATGTTGTGGGCTAAATAATTCAGAAAATTCACCCAATGGTTTCCTGCCTGAAACATAAATTAGCAGTGGAGATTCTGCAACACCGCAACCAAGAAATGCCTTTTCTGCATCCAACGCCTTAATTATTGGCCCATTCATTCCAAAAATGTTAGACTATGACACTTATGACAGACTAGCAGGAGAATATAAAAACTCCTAGAATCTTTGAACTCTTTTTGGCATCCATGGATCGTATTCGATACATCAAACAGGTTACATTGTATCGATGTCAATTGGTTCAACACGTAAACATGGCCTCAAAAGTCAATTATGAGAAATCTGAGAGAACGGGTTTCTTGTGATAGAAGTTTGATTCTTGAGAGTATAAAAATGCGAAAGAAAAGTGAAATTGTTGGGAATTTCTTCATTTTCAGCGTTTCCTTCTTAAATCATACAATTTTTGTTTGTGGTTACATTTTATTGTTTCGAACCAAACGATACGTCGAACCACTATCGAATACGATCTACGGCTGGGCTACTACTCATTTGAATACTCGCTCGTTTATTTATCGGCGGTCTCGTAGTTGAGCGGTTATTATCGCCGGCGGCGTTTTGCACGCATCGCTTCATTTCCGCTCTGCGTTTAAAATTTATTTTCTTCCGGAAAAACTGAGCGCAGTCTAACTCGTCCGGCGCCGCACAGTGGATCGAGTCAATTAGATAGGTCGGACATTAAATTTTTGACCAAAACTGCAAATTTTGATGTTTATTTCGTCACATTTTGCATTTCAAGGGGTGCTTTCAGAAGAGAATTTCACGAGGAAACCAATGTATCCACTTTCAGAACCTCAAAGTTTTGTACGAGCGGAGTTATCAGCGTTTAAAGTTCCCATATTTTGTCCGACCCTTCCCATTGACTCGATCCAGTGTGCGCCGAAACCAATAGTCCGGAACCGGGGTCAATGACGAGGTGCATTCCGCATTTACGCAACTCCTTCATCGGCGACTTGAAAATTAATCACCGTGAATACAGCTTCGAATATCTTGTTGAGATCATAGAATTTGATCCGAACGCCGAATGTTTCTAGTTGAGATTATGATCGTCATCCCGCAATGCACCTTATCTCCCTTATGCCTCTTTTTAATGTATAATTCGTAAACAACGATCTCCACTACACCTACACCGAGAAAAAATTTTGAGAGAAGGAACCTCTATCGAATAATCTCCAGTCAAATTATGAAAAGGAACCTCTATCGAATAATCTCCAGTCAAACTATGCCGATTATTTTTGTTGATAGGTGCTTTGATAAAAAAATCATTTGTTTTGAAAAGGAACTAAAAGGGGAATCGCCCTTTCGGCGTCACGCAATGCTCTTATGATAGAACGTAAGGAATGATTTAACAAGGATTCCAGAGAAAAAAAAATGAAAAAAATAGCAATTTTAACGGTAAATTCTTCGGCATTCTCAACTGAAAATTGCGCCGATTTTTCATCTGACCTCATGCAAAAATTAGACGAATTTTGGACAAAAACTGCCCGGGTACATCCTTGTAAAAAATCGAATTGTTTAAGTCAATTTCGCAACCTTGGAATGGAGTCGCGTTCCTTCGTCTGGGCAACGACGATTTGTCGACACCCAGCGCTCCATGGATTTATTACCTGCCAAAAATGAGAAAATGAGGATGTGTCGTGTCGAACGGAAGGAACGGTTTGACGAGGATTCCGCAAAAAAAAAAAAAAAAAAAAAAAAAAAAAAACACCACACAACTAATAATTACGGTGGACATAATTCGCTCTCGTCCACCCAACGCGACGCGAGGAGTCGCTAACACCCATCATCAGTCCAATTCACGTTACGGTCAACTTTGTTTTATGAAGCCCTCACAAACATCCGCGCTGCGAATTTTTTTCCTGAATTAAATCAATTCACGCTCATCGTTTGAAAGATCAACTATATAGCCGGACGAAATGTATGATCGATTATCCTTTTTTCTGGCGCCTAAATTATGTCCAGGTCCTGTCCGCGTTGAGGATGTTTTTTTCCGGCTCAATAAAAAAAGTTTCCTGCTCCGTTAATCTGCCCCGCTAAAGAGGAACATCGCATGAACCTTCATCCGATGTCAAATTTCCTTTGACAAAACACGATTTTTCAGAAAATTCGCAAATGTTGTTCCTTCGATTTCTCAGAGAATTCTGTTTGCACTTTAATCTACGACATCTGACAATCTCAAGGAAAAATACTCGAGACTTACTTCAAAAACAAATATTTTCCGAGAGGAAATTTGGCAACATTCGAATGCTCATAGGCTGTTTTCCCTTGGTACACCAGTAATCATATTGAATCTGGCGCGTGGCGAAGATGACACCCCTTCATACCACAAACATGTTTTTTTTTTCTTTCAATGTAAAATTAATACTACGTGCAAAATCTACAACAGGTTTCATGAAATAGTTGTGCGCGACTAATACTTCTTTCTAATGCGTCGTGTGTATTTGTTTGTGTTCTACGTCATGTATCTTAGTCATTAGGCGGTTTGTCTTATGAGCCTGCACCATGCGTAATGGATGGATAAGAGGTCATACAAGCCAATGAGACACATCTTAAGCGAATAGCGCCGCTCTCAGAATATTCAATACAGGAGGAAAACATCTTAATTTAAGTTATGATGCACAACGCGCGCACGAGAAGAAAATTAATAATAATGGTCGTACGAAACACACAGAATTTGCCTTATCTTTTATTTTATTCATTCATACATACATTGTGTCTCTCATCTTAAATAAAGTCAATTTTCAGCCATGTAAAAACGGTAACACACTAGAGACCTTAAATTCTCTGAAAAGACGCGAATAGCGCCGCTGTCTTAATGTGTGCTGTTACATTAACTAACTAACTATTGTTAGTCCCATTTCTCTCCTTAGTCTACGTTAGCATCAGCCACCCGTTCCAACCAATAGGGTTGCTCCATTCTCCCGTCGTCTTCTTTTTCTACCTCTTTGTCTATCAAAATCAACAATCAGCCCGCAAGGTACCAAAATTTTCGGTCATAGGAACCGAATTTCTGTAAGTTGAACCGGAGATCGGTTTCGTCTTAGTAACTGGAAACTTCTGTGTTCGATATAAACCGAACCAAATATCTAGGAACTACCAATACCATTCATTTTGCGCGGTCTCGTCCGGAACCTCTTACCTAATATCCGTATTCTGCCATGCCAAGGAAAAACGCCATATGAACATTCGGACGGCGTCAAATTTCACCAAAGTTCACAGAAAATATTGAGTTTTGAGAATAGTTATGAATATTTCACCCAGAATTTGTTTTAGATTAAATTGCGAATTAAATGCTTAGAAAACTTAAAAGACAAATATTCTGGAATTTTCCTGAAAATTTTGATTTGATCGAAGGAAATTTGGCAACGACTGTAGACTCATACTACGGTTTTCCTCAGCAAGGCAGTATTGGCGATGGGTCCGCAGACAATAATTGCAGACAATGAGCCAATTGATCAAGACATCAACTAGACGAGACGTATCATGCATGTAAGCGGCCAGACATTTACGGGAGCGTGCATGCGTTGATCTTAGAATACGTTAGTGCTTGCATTCGTGAAATTGTGACCAAAAAATTGCACGCGTGCACCAAAATCTGTCACAAAGCGGAGAAAACTATCTGCGTTTTCCCAGAGCTTTTGGAAAGCCTTTAACTCTTTTCTTTCTTTTTTTTACTACTTGATGAAATACTTGGGAACGGTTTACCTAAAAGTAAAAATATGTTTCAGTCCGATGGCGTGGCGTGGTTTGCGATGTATCAATTGATCTGCCATTTAAACCTATGGAAAAGGAACGATAAACAGGGTGTTCACAACAAACACCTTAATAATCGATTCTTTAGCATGTCTTCAAATGGAGAAAAATCGATAGTCGATCATTCACGCTTCGCCAGTCCCAATAATTATTAACTCCTGCGGAGAAAATGACGAAAGGCCAAAAAAGTACCTAAAATCCCAGAACGCAGCATCGGCCGTCGTCAAATTGACATGTCGTTGAGAGTACATGTTTCCGCGACAGTCCGGCAACCAAATATCGTAGCCTTCATCTGCGAGCATGAACGCTGCACATCAGAAAAATAAAAATATATAAATTACGAAGTTATGAAACATAATTTTTTTGTATCAAAAATTCAAAAAGCCTGATTGGAGGTGAGAACTTTGATTGATTTTGAAGTCTGCCGGTTGATTTTGTTGAAAAAGAAAATTATTCCTCTCACAATCAATACATTAATCGTGTGTTCTTAAAGTAGAAAATTGCAACCATAATCAATTGATTATGAACTTCAATGTTTTGGACATATCTTCTGTCCTAGAGTACCTGTCTCTACTACTTCTTTATATATTGTGATGAAAAGATATAGTACAGAAAATTTAAAATTTAAATATTGGGGAAATTAAAGTACATCTGATGTCGTTTAATGCGATTAAATCATGAGCAAGGAATCGTGATCATATTCAACAACTAATTGGACGTAATTCTGCCAAACGGACCTATGTGCATTAAGACGTGAGTCCTGTCATGCATATATTCTCATGGGTCTCAGGAATCATGTCTCAATGTACTTAGTTCCGTTTGACAGAAATACGTCCAATTATTATGTTCCGTGGAAAAAATATGTGGGAGTCCACAACTTCTTGTGCTGCTCTTCGTGAATATTGTGAAGAATTTTTATGTGAGCACAATTTTCATCCTCAGTGTGAGAATACAGCAATTTTTCCCCTTTTTCCTCGAGAAGAGTTCCTCTAGCTCAACTGCAAAATTAGCCTTCATTTCGTAAAATATGCAACATGTGCTTCCACGTGTTTGAATAGTGGTGTTTAGACACTAGCACTACCAGTGGCGGTTGAGAATTATCAATGAGGTCTTCCAACTAATCGATGTTAAAATGTACATCAAACATCGTCCTAGACAAAATTTCCACTTATCTTACTCTATGGTATAAAATCAGAGGAGCGACGCGTAACGCATAACTATTGAGCCGCGTAGCGCTGCGTGGGGTTGGACCGCGATGGGTTCAAGGAAACGTAACCCTCTTGTTTCATTTATTTTCTGTACAGATTCTCACTCTCACTTACCTCGGCTATCTCCAGCTTTGAAGACGGTTGGACTAAAAGAACATGAAATCAGTGTGTGACTCTAATTTTTCCCCCTGGTTTGTTTTTCCTTTTTTCCAGTTTTCTCAAAGAGAAAAAGGTATCTGATCAACTTTTCTTGCCACGTCTTGTGATATCTTGTACAAAAAATCCCTTCCATTTGATAAATACAGTGAAAATACGTACACAGGTCACTTTTAGGGCCTCTGAGAACCCAGCTATCGGAGGCACCGAGCAAACCGTGCTGAAATATGACTGGAGGACCACCCTCCTTCACGATCCTGTGAACCTGCAGGATGTAGCCGTCTTCAGTCGTCACATCATGAGTTTCAGCTTTGTAACCATAATACCGGATGAATTCATCCTGAAACCAGAAACTTCCTATCGTTACGGACCAGACTGAACATTAGAAAGTTTTACTTAGAAGAAAAAAAAAATATACGGAATGTAAGCAAAAGCTTCAAAAAAAAAAAAAATTGGATAAAAAGAGGAGGTATCATTCCGTGGAAAAAAGGTGGTAGTCATTTCTTATAGTATATGAAACCGCATTGAAAGCTTTTTCGGCCCCAGCTTTATTAACCACCAAAAGAACTTGGTCGACAAAAATCGACCAAAAAGTGGAACCATAGACAGTTTACAGCTCAAAAATGAATGCAGGAAGGCGCTTTTTCACAAAATATAATCGTTGCTCCGAAATAGTGAATTACTTTAACGCGGTGCGAAATGAATTATGTAAAAAATTAATGTACTTATATGTAAAATTTATAAAAATTTCTTTCATCCACAATAATGCATTACCTTGCCGGAAAAAATACTCGTGGAATTTTTTTTTCATTTTATTATAATTTTAAAACAAAAACTCGAAACTGAAAACCTAAGCGTAGAGCGTTTGAATTGATGGAAGTTGCTAACTCGCTCATTTGGACCGAGTTCGTCAGAAAGGAACCAACCCACACTAAGTTGAAGCTATAAGAAAACGAGGTTTGAAGATTTATTCCTGTGTAAGGCTCAATGTAAAAAATGAGCTTTACTTCCTCTTTCCACAACAAAATCATTGTTTTGAGACTTTCAGTATTTTGCAGGAGAAAATTTACGGCTGGTGAAACGCAAAAACATTCTTAACACATTTTTTCCAAAAATGTGCGGGTTGGCTCCTCTCTGATATACTCGCTCATATGACACCCTTATCCTCTTTGGTTGAAAAAAAGAAGAAAAAAAACCTATCCATCTTAAAAATAGACTACTAAATTACTAAAGAATAAATGAATAAAAAAACTGAAAATACCGTTGTCATGGTAGCCATATCAGAGAGCTCCTCCGCAGACCCCAAACACACCAACACAATCACAATCACCGGGGCGGGAAATCGAAACGCGGTCATTCTGGCGGGAAACCGAAACGCGGTCATTTTGGCGGGAAAACGCGCACAGTATCCAGAGCTTCGGGTGAGAATAACGCTGTCATCGAGAGCTTTATCAATAGGCGATATTTAATTCCGGCGACCTTGCGTGATTTTACCCGATCCCGTCCCGTTTCCGCGGTTTCCGCTCGCCGGGTTGCGGTCGGCTCTTTTGAAGGCGTTTTTTTCCGGCGGTCCATTTTTATTAGCTCGTAAAATAGCGAAATAGTGCGTATGGACCGCTCGCGTGCATTCTGTGCCATTGAGTCAGGTAAGGTTCAAGGTGTGACCCTGTCGGTATAAGCCCGGAATTCGGGTAATCGTGGATTTTTGGTTGCGTTTATACGGAGAGAGACTATCTACTTGAGTGCTGAATGCCGATCCAACAAAAAAGCTGTCAAACTTGGTAATATTGAGGTGAAACTGTTAGATTGGCCATTTTTCCGGTGTAGTAGATCCTACTTTCTACAGCAGGATGCTGTCATAAGGTTGATCACAATTTTTTTTTTTTTTTTTTTTTTTTTTTTTTAAGAAAAAAAATTAGAAAATAAAAAGCATTAATTCTTATGACTCTATGTTAAACTCTGAGTGCGTTGCTCATCTCCTAATATGCAGAGACCATTACATAAAAGGAAGGGATCAAAATTTTACCTCCTCAACAATTGTTTAAATTACTCAAGAACGGCCGAAGTTTTTCTTTCAAAATTTCTGTGGATTTTTTTATTCATTTTTTTCTTTTATTTGACGAAAATTCCTCAAAACCTCAGTATGAAACATAGGACCGTCAAAGCAGTAGGTAAGTCGTGTATGAAGACTTTTTTCTCCTACCTCCATCCCTTTTACCCATCCCTGAGCCAACTGCTCTCCCCCCCCCCCTTTTGAAGTACGTAAGCCTGGTTTGTGCCCCTGCTCCTAAGTTTATCCAAAAAATACGCAGAAAACCTAAAAATTGCTGAGAAAATTATTTTTGTAAAAAAATATTCTTTTTTGTTTTTAAAAGAGGGATGCTTACGTAAGTATGGACCTGATCTTCTCTCTCTCCTTCTTAACACCCCAAGGTAAGTTCAGACCCCACTCCACTCCTTGGTGGCTAATGCAGTACTTTCACGGTATGACGTTGCAACCGGCTCATCTTCTACATAATTTTTCAAGAAAAATTGTATCCGTACCTACGATCTCAGTTCTCTCAGATTTTATCCGATAGGCAGCAGTAAGGAAATCTCATTTCCAAAACTCAGCATACTTTATCATCGATTAATTTAGCATAAACAAAGGAAGGTGTTTAAATCGAATAGCAATAGTAATGCTTCTGGTTTTAGTGTAGTCGGCAGTGTAAGGTTGATTATGATTGGACCCTGGCACATAAAACTGGACCACTCGCTATCAGCAGAGCGTTGACGGCAGTGATGTATATTGACTTTGAGACTGGTTTAGATAAGAATATGTAAGGTTCTAATAGGTTTCAGACTTTCTGCTTGTCAATGAGGTGGTGTCAGTGGATGCTCTTGGCACTGGTGACCATGTTCAAGACTACACCGGCTTTGGTACATGTGTAACCAACATTGATGCCACATGCTGAGTGAGGGCAGTAATATAAGGAAGTTGGAGTGTAGCTTCGTAATTACAAACAGGGACCTTTAATCGACATTATTCCTTACCGGGCGTTTAAGTCCCCAGGTATATGGACGTATTTCTGCCAAACGGAACTATGTGCATAATGACATGAGCCCTGTTATGCATACATTCGTATAGGTCTCAGGGCTCCTGTCTTAATGCACATAGTTCCGTTTGGCAGATATACGTCCAAATGACACGATGAATCTCTTCATGATTAAAGTCCCTTAATTCTTTAAATTTTGGACGACAGCGATTTCATTAGATTTTTTTCACTTAATGAGAAGAATGAACTTTATGAGTGAAACACATTTCACTCCACATTTTACCTTATAGCCTAGCGGCAACCTTGGTCGGCGAGCTCCCTTTTTCTGAAATTCACGATTCATCGTCTTTGTTTTCCAATAATTTTGAAATTTTCTGACAGAGTCGTAATATTTGTAATTTTTGAGTGTGGTTGCAGAATGTACTCCTCCGAACTCAGAAAGGGCGATCTCATTTAATTTTTCTTCACTTTGTGCCTCATTTCAATACATTCGTTCCTCCACCTCCTTTCCCTTTACTTCCTCTGTCACCCACCTTGTCCATCTTGCCCCTTCCCCTCCTCCTCCATTTCTCCTCTTGACCTTACAGGCCCCGCAACATTGTATGATTGCCGTAAGGAACAGCGGCTAATTCTTTTACGGGTCTTTAAACGGGCCATCTTGGCCGTGAATTCGTTAGATGCACTTGGCCATAAAACTCGCTGGCCGCGACCTGATCCGAGCCAACGTTGCCAGATCGACGATCTATGAGCCCGCAATATATGTTGCCTTAAATTCTAGCTTTTTCCAGCGATATTTGACAATACTCGTGATGAGCTATCGGACAAAACAGCTTGGTCACGCACATGAAATATTGTCAATGGGATTTAATTTGAATGAGACAAATGCAGACACCCCAGAAAGGCACTTATTAAAAAATTTAAGGGAGAATTCATAAATTACGTTTTCGGAATTTTTGACCCCTCCCTTCGAAACATTTCTTAACACAACACCAGAGCACCCCTTTAATAATTCCCTACGTAACACTTGACGGACCCTTCCCTCCTTAAGATCTCAAAAATTGTGGGAGGCTGTTGAAAATAAAGCTGGATAAAATTTGAATTAGTTTTACTGATAGGTAGACAAGTAACGTTAAAGAAATGAGGATGGTGAAAAAAATGAGAATCACATTTATCTCGTCTGCGGTTATAAAAATCTCCGCTGTCATACTATGTTTTTAAGGGAGAACTAATCAATAGGTATCATTCCTTGAAGTTTTCACAGAGTTTTCTTCGCGAAGAGAAGAAAAATCACGAAGTTTTTCAAAAATTGACGTTGAGTGGTTTTTCATTTGAAAAATAAATTGTGACAGGAAGTCTGCGACGTCGCAAACCGAGATACGGTATCTGGTAGTAGATTTGGAATTTTGCGTGCTATTTACCGTGAGAGAGAGGGTTACGAAACGCTGGCGCTGGCCCTTATCTCCCCTTTTAACGTAGCGTAACGCATCGTAACGTGCGCTCCTCCCCCCCCCCCCCCCGTTACGACGTAAGGCGTTACGTAATGTATAAAAGCTCTCTAAATCGTTTATGCCATACCTGTAGAAGATACCGTTTGTTAGACGTAAGAAAACTTAAAAATTGTGTGCAAAGTCTTACTGATCAATATCATTTCGATAGTAAGTATATTTTACCATCGGATCTGGAAATCAATGACGAAAGGAAAAATTAAACATTGATATACTAGAGCTGCACGCGATGATTTTTGGTCTGCTCCTAATTTGAAGGCGCTCGTTAATGAAATCAACCTCTTACGTTTAAGATGAAGTTGACAAGAAATCTGCAACATCGCGAACGAAGATACGTGGTTTCACGCTTTGGCTATTAACCTGCTATTTGCAACACCTAACGGTCATCCAACGCTATTCTAGAGTCCCTTTATACCCAGAGTAACGACAACTCGATTATCAGCTGACTGGCAGCCGACCTTGGCTGGCCATGGAGGCCGAAACTAGTGCACTCAAACGAACGATATTGGGGGATAAGGATCAGGAATCCTGCGATGTCTGTCACACAGAAACAACAACATCAACAAATTGATCAA